AGAGCTCAAGTAGGCTGAGAGGCTGGAGGCAGAGTTATAATCTGGAGCAACCCAGCACCAGACTTGGGGACCTGGGCTGCCCAGTCATCCCCTGAAGCTCAGTGCTTGCCAGGAAGACAATACACCATGATGAGGGGAAACCAGTTGTGTAGGGAGGATTGTGAGGTAGCTAAGGAGCTCTGATAGGTTCAAATAAACTTCAAATGAGCATCTAAACACTATTCACCAACAGTAAGATCATAAAATATAAGGTTATTAAACAATAAAGTCAAAACTGAGGGGCAGCAACTTGTTGCAGCAAAGGAGAATTATAAATTAGCAAAACTTATTAGGAGCTTCAAACAAACAGATGAGTAAACTAAACAGTTAACTGGCCTCATGACATGTTCAACAGTTCAATTAAAACAGCTCTGAGCCAAGCCCAGCATTTGTTGGAATAAGGGTTTACATTGTAAAAGAAAGGACACAATGAAATACTGTAAAATTTACCCATGTTGGTCGGGGTATGGAGGGTAAAGTACTTGTAAAGGAAATTGATCTCTGATGATTTTCTTCTATATTTTTTAAAATAGCTTTTCCCTTGTCCTTCATGATAAGAAGACTTTCCTTACCCTCTACATGGCAAGAAGAATTTTACCCTGATTTAACTGCATATATCAATCATAATCTACTTCTAATAAGAGTAGACAAGGCGGCTTGAAAAATTCACACCCCTGAGCACTGAGTTAAGCTAACCTAACCCCCTGTGTAAGGACATCTAGATTGACTGAAAAATTCTTCCGTGGACCTAGCTGATCAGGGAGGTGGATTACCTACATTGATGGAAAAACTCCTTCCATCGATGTAGGAAGCATCCACACGTGCCATTAGTCCTCTGCATTAGATTGGAAGAACTTGCTCTCCAGTGACCTCTTCTGGGGGGGTTAATATGCAACAATGGCTGACTCTGGAGGAAGCATAGTCTTGTCCTCCCACCATCTACGAGTGGCAGGCCGTAGGGAAAAAAAAAAAAAGAAAACTAGAGATGTTCCTTGGAGAGTTACCCAGAGAATTTTTTTAAAAATGAAACCAGACAAAGAAAAGAAAGCTGGAGACAAATTTATATTTTAAAAAATCACACCGTTTATGCTGTTGCACAGCGTAAGAGTTATCTGGCATTCACATCCAACCCAAAATTCTGATGATACAACTTAGAAGGGTGTTTTTGAAACATGCTGAGACAGAGTCTAAGTTACCCAATCACACAGAACTGAAAGTTAATTTGCAAAAAGAGGACATGGTTACACTGCTGCCCTACTGCCACCCTACCTCCCACTCCCACCCCCAACAAAGTATATGGTCAATGGGTGACATTTTTTAAATAAAACAAGTGCCAACAAAGATAGACCTATGAAGGAAGGATCTGCACTATCAAAAAACACAAGAAATGTAGAGCAGGGAGGAATACTCCGTATATTCTTATAGGAGAGGATACTGCAAAAAGGCTATTTACCTGCAATTGCAGTTCTCTGATAGTACAAATTGTACAAGAGTCATATTCTCAGGTCAGCACTTCCAGTGTAAAGGCAGTTCGTAAATCCTATAGAATTAGAGGAAAGCTATATCCCTCCTAAAGTTTCTATTATTTCACATGCCAGTTTGCTCAATGACATTTCCTTGGAAAACCATATCTGGCTGAACACTTTCATTTTATATCTTGGCCAATCCATCTCCAATGTTATAAGACAGTATGGCTAAATTCTTGGACAGTTTGCTTGTAAGGTATTAATCTTACCCTTGCTGCATGAGTCTAATTTAACTGTCTTAGAGTTATAAGAACATGATCTGATTTGAATATGCCCAATCCCTCCTCTATGTACCATAAGCGTAATAGACTCTCTCTTTAATTAGCCATCCTTCGGCTGTGATACTTTTACATTGAAACTGGAGCAATGGTGCTTGCTCGATGCTGCCATTTAAAACCTGTACTTTGCCATGTCCCCTTGCAAAAACCTCTGACTAATGCCCCCTACTCCAGAGACATCCCTAGAGCTCTTTAGTTTGGAGTTTCCACTATGGGAGTTTCCACCTGCCACGCACTGGGAATATGAAGCAGGAGTGGTTTTATTAAAACTCGGTTCTTTAGACTAGAGGACATTTAACAAGCAGTTCCCTGCACTTCCATACTCTGATGTTTTAAGTTTGTATAAGAAATGTACAAGACAGACATACAAGAGAAAGGAGACCAGACATCCCTTCCTGGCTCACATGAACATTTGACAATAAGCAGACAGTATAAATTATTGGATTGTATCAAAGTGAAACAAACCAGTCCTGATATATAATTTCATTCCTTCTATCAGAGAGGACAGCCTACCTGTAATAAGTTAACCAATCTCCTAATGTTATTTTAAAAAGTTCAAGAGACTACCAAAGTGGTTTGATAAGGGGAACTGTTTCTAAATCAGCCCTACATGGAATTGCATGCTTTGGTCCAATCACGCTCCCATTGGCTAAAATGGAAGCTGGATCAGGTTTTGCACATTTAACAAGACCCTTAGCATAGAGAAGAAACGCTGGCAGCAGGTTCTTGGGTCCTCGTTTCAGTCTCAATTTATTTTCCAGTCAGTGGAAGCTTATGATCTGGTCCAAAAGACACTCACAGATGTCTCCAATGACCTATATGCTGCTCTATGTTTCACTCTGAAAGAACACTTTGCATCCATTTTATTGGCAAAGGGACTGCGGGCCTCACAAAGTTAGTAAGCTAATATAATGAGCAGAAAGGACAAAAATGCAA